AAGGATCCTCATGCGATATAACGTCTTCGATCGTAGCGTGCGTCAAGATGCGCGTTGATTGATCGCGATCGCAAAGACTGACCGAGGCAACTCTCTTCGAAGTTTTTATTCTTTCTCTCTTAAACTTCTATTCGTTCGTGCTTCCAATTTAAAACTTGCGTTTGCGATCCACTAAATCTATATTTGTTTTCAAAAGTTTATAGGATCAATTAGAAAAGTTTAAAATCGTGATGTTTGCTACGTATGTATACCTAATTTGCAAAATATTACAAATTGCATCTTATTTGGTTATTCAAGTAGGTAAATGAAACTTTCGAAACATGAATGTGGGTTCGGTGGATACAGGCGTTATTTGGCAGATTCAGGACTAAATTTCCTACGGGCTAGTTTCACCAACGTCGATTAACGCAAACCGTGATTGACTGAGGGTTGGCTGTACTAACGTCGCTTAGGGTTCTGACATCGGTTAAGTTAATTTTCTCTCTCCCTGTTCATATCGTAGGTAGAACTATGATCTACAAAGAGATAGCCAATCGTTGAGCCAGGTTTGCTCGACCTACATGATTGATGCAATTCGGCTCAACTTCGTTCTTCATCTATGTTACAAAGAGGACATGAATGACGTGATGATTACTATAACTAGAGAATATTTCCAGAGAATATTCTCATTGACGACCTGCTAAAATTATATTCTGTATTACAATCGACATAATCTGCAGAAAGGAGAATTAATTAACTATGGTTAGCGTTAATCAAGAAGCTTGTAAAACTCGCTTATTGAGACTGGCTGTCTTCCGCTTCGGAAAAGTCAACAGCGGACTCATCCGTCCACTTTCCCGTTCTCTTTTGTGCGCCGTTGGTTATGGTGTATAACTTGTTGCTCGCAGGCAAACAAACGTGCAGTGACCGCGGATTGCAATTTTACATCTTCGAATCGGTCATCGATGGCAGATTGCCATGCTCGCTTCCGGAGAAGCCTTTTTCTAGTTCCCCATCTCCGTTCGATGCGGCAATAAAAATGAAGACCCATCGACACACGTCTGTTATTCGGAAGTGAAGAGGATGTGAGAGAAAACGAGACAAAGAGAAGAAAATGAAAGAATAGAAAAATTGTAAAGGATATACGGGATCCCGATCCTATCCCACTGTCGGCCTTCCTCGTTATTTGCGGCTTAGGACGGCTGTGAAGCAAACATAGTCGTCACGGCCATTCTCCGATATTTGCCACCGCGATTATCCCGCTTTCTCTTACAAGATCTTGGATACTCACCGCACTGATCTCCCTCGATCTCCGAGCCGAGAACTCGATTGTTAGCCGATTATCGCTATCGACGCGCGGCAGAACACGGGGTATCAGATAAATTGAAAAATTCGGAACCATATCTTTCGAGTCTTAAAATCTCGATTTTTTTCCCTCGCGAGAGAGTTCGAATCGACTACGGGATATTATCCACTGATCGAGATTATACCGCGGAAATGAAGTTTCTCTCGGTTTAGGATAATTTCCAACTCAGGCGATCTCAACGTTGATCGCCCTTCGAGAGTCGCGATCAACATCAAAGGATGAGGGTGCTCTGCGATAAGGAGATTTGCTAGAACGTGAGAAAGCGAGCGAGCGAGCGAGCGAGAGAGAGAGAGAGAGAGAGAGAGTGAGAGAGAGAGAGAAAGTTTGCATAAACGTTAGTTAAACATTATCGTGTTTCAATTAATATATGCTGCCGCTTTGCAAAAATGAAATTAAAAAACAGGAAAGATGGCTTAATTCTCGACTAAATTTTATTAAGTTCAACTAATATCCTATAGAGATCAATCTACGCCATCTACGACAAAATAACGTCTCAATAAAGATTTACATTTTGCTGCAGGCTTCATTCGCATGTTCTGATGCTTATACGTTCGGTTTGTGCATCCTTTCTCGTACACTACAGGAAAAATTCGATTTTGCGGGGTGATGCGGTGGGATGACAAATTGAATTTTTCTCAGTTGTCCTCTACCAATCCCGAAGGGACTCACGAAGTCCGTTCTCACGAAGGGTTTTATTTATTAAAAAAGGGCCGAGTATCGTGCTAAGGCGCGCGCATTTCACTGTCGAGACTGACACTCGATTTCAGGAGGCGAGCAGCGAACGCGATAAATTGACCGAGTAAACAAGACGAAAGCTCTTTGCGGTTTTCCCATCGCCATCCCTCGAGAGAAAGTGAGAATTAACTAATTACTGTGTTGAATGTAAGTAGACTTGTACTTTTCAATGCATTCTTATCGATAGAGAACGTGTATTTCGTGAGATGTGAATTGCCACAGAAATTAAGTAGTTACCGATCGTATTGGTCTGACCATGACCGACTTTTTTCATTGTTTAAAATTCAGCCGTTAGCTGACTTGGCCGCAGATTTCTTAACAAAGTTTGACGTGGGAGAATTAAGTAGCTATCGATAATAATAAGATTTAATTGATACTTTCGCCCTATCGCGTTTCTTTTAGAAATTAAATGCTTATTAGAATTTAAGTGATATTGGAGTACACATTGAGTAGATGTAGATAAGAGTCTTCTTCAAAAATACTTTTTGCGTGAATTTAATTAAGTTATTCAATATCAAATTATTCAAAGATTATCATTCTTTTTAGAATCTTGCTCAATAAATAAGACTAAAAAAGAATCTTTTTTCATCGAGTTTCGATTGTTTTGCAAAAGTTGTGCTTCTATTTTCAAGGTTTCGCTAATAATATAATAAATGCACTCTTTTTTAATAGCAACTGTGCCATAAAATTAAGAAAAATAAGTATTCAGGCATTGTTTCGAATATATCTCACTCTTAACTTTCCAATGCTGGGAACTTTTGTTAGGCGCTTCTTGTGTCTTGGCAAACTGCACGAGTTAAACAGTTACGAATTGCTTACACTCGACGGTACTACCCGTATTTCTCCCACGTCCCAAATCCCGTCGTCGATTTGTAACGTTCTTTATTGCGAATGGATTTTGGGGAACAATAAAATCTCAAACTGTTACGCTCTCCACTGGGTGAAACTAATTTTTCTATCATTCAGAGCTCCGGCCATGAATTCCCTTTAAAGCTGCGCGCTCTGGGAAGCTATGAAGAAAAATTGAGTAGTTAAAGATTAAAGTTTATATATTGCCGATACTTTTTGTCATTTTATAATTTTTATTTCATTATGATTAAATTTCTTAAAGTGAGACATGCAATAATAATCACAATATTAATAGATATTAATTATTAATATTAATTAGAATTTTATATATACATATATGTATATTTTAAGTGTGTACGTAGAATACTAATTATAAAAGAAAAACTTTGATTTATTTTTATTATCATTCATGGTATCTATTTTTATATGTATATATTACAGAAAAAATTATCGATAATAGTCTTCCGCGAGATGCAAAAATACTTTGAATAATTTAAAAAGAAATATCGCTCTTATTCCAGAGCAGTTCATTAATTTTTAACAAATAAAGAGACCAAGCACTACGTGTTCCTTCGGGTAGATTTAATTCGCATTCTTCTTGCCGAGAATCTGCCACTGATTTGCGACGCTTTTTCGACCGCAGCGAACATTCCGAAAAGCTATGAGAACTTAGAAATTACCTCTTCGAGTGAACTTAACACGTATATATCTTTCAGCATCTTTAGCGGGAATTCTTTTAAAAGTTTCTACTAGGAACGCTTGCAAAATTTTTACACTTGATATTTTAGAAAAAGTGTTTCACAGTTAAAAGTGTAGGATCAGTCAAACATGATCTTACTGAGATTTTCATAAATTCCAGTATCAAGCAAAACGAAATCTTGGAAGACAAATAGTCAGAGATAATTCGCAACAGACTCACAACTTATATATTTCACGTACATTTCTCTTTCTTTTTACAAATTAATATAAATAATTATAAAGATTAATGTTCATGTAAATACGACATCATTTTTTTTCTTTTGCTCATTTTACGTATTAGATTTTGACGATTTAAAAGAATTGTGATTTTTACTTTATGTTCATCTAAATCTTTTTTTACCCCTCCTCTTAATTAATTTTTCAATGTCCGGCAATCTCTCAGGCAATTCTCTAAGGGAACATTTTCTCGTTTTCAACCCCTTGTAACTTCATTGCTTACCAGGCAGCTTTCGAGGCCTTGTTGCACGGTAGCGTCGAAAGTTGGTTTCCCTTTGGGAAGACGATCATCCAAGAATGGGTTCTGTTACACGCTTTGTTTGTTCCTTCTCTAAAAACATCCGTTCGGCCCGACGACCGTTTAATTTTCCCTCAGTGCTTCGCGCAATGTCGGCAATTTCCGAAAGGGTCGTTAACACAGATCGTCAATCCTCCTTTGTGCTCATCACCGATAGAAAGAGGTTACGATTTTCTTATCGCAAGCAACTAATGCGCGACACTCTCTTTCGGATTTATCAAGGCAAACAAATAGAGAACTCATACGGGAACTCCATCAGAAATAACAGACTCAGCAATCTTTCAAGAGATTCAAACCGTCATCGTAGTGTTTTTTCTGTCTCCCTTTCTTTCTTGTCTTTTTCTGCTTGTTTCTCTTTCTCGCTCCAATATTGAAAGAACGACAGGAGGAAAGGGGGACAGGGCGACTAATTGGAAAGCCGACGCGAGGATTAAAGATCCCGGAACCGCCCTTTTCTCTCGCAGCAGCAACGCGGCAGTGGCGCTTAACTGAAATTACGTCAACTGGCGAGTGCGGTTGCACATTATCGATCAACGTAATTGGGTATTCGTTAGAAATAAATGGCCGTTAATGCAATTTTCGGCAGTATCTCTCTCCCCCACCTCCCCTTTTCCCTCATTTTCTCTCTTACACGCCCGCTAGTAATGCATACTGATCCAAGTCATGCTGAAAACGAGGGAAACATTATAGCGCACGTAGTCCTTTCTCTTCCGTAGTAATGACCGGATGATCTAATCATTTACTGTGTCGGCGAGAGTCACCGAGATGCTAACACGCTAACGATAGGGAAACCTGCTACAAATCATCGTCACAAAAATCGAGCACGATGTCGTCGTTGCGGTATACCGCCGTCTCGTAGTTGTCCCAGCATCGTTAACACCGCAGACGGTCTTGTGATAAATTTCCAGCACATAGCGAAATAAATTGCATCGTGGATCATCAGGTAAGTTCCTTTCTCTATTGAACCTCATGTCGTGAAATATTATGAGACTTACAATAGAGGTGAAAAGGAGAATATAAAATTCTATTAGTTACTAATCCTAATAAATTTCAAGATATACATATCTAACAAAATTAAAGCCATATCATCAGAAACAAAGAATTTTCATAAACGCGCGCGCGTTTACGTATAAGCAGAATCAAATAAAAGCTCGATTCTTTTACTTTTTGAAAGTAATCGAAACCGTATTTCTATGGCAGTGTTCCAAAGTTCATACCCAGCGATGAAAGTCTATGTTACGTGCACTGTAATTTTCAGCAGTGACGGTGAAAACATGGCCTTCGTTTTAAATTTCAGTTCTATGATGCTCAAAATAATTTATTATTTCAACAAGAGCACGTGCTAGTCATTGTTTAATATTGCAAGTCTTATGATCTCACGAAATGCAGTATCACGTTCGAAAATTTCCTATCACGTCTTCGCGTACGATTTCATGGCGGTTGACTCGATTGTTGCCAGTAAACTGACGATACTTTCAGAGCGACCTCATGCTATAATGGCGGTCGTGTAATTATCTGCGATGCGTACTGCATTTAATGTTGTTTGGATGTCAATGCCGCGGGCAGAGGGGTAACGGGATTGGTAATTGTTGTTTACAACGCACTGCCGCGCGTCATTGTGCTATGATGATGGTGTCCCGGTGCATAGTGAACGTTGCGTTGATGGAAATTGACGGATTTTATTAGCGATGCGGAAGAGAAATTGATCAAATTGTCAATTGTCACATGTGGCTTATCCGGCATGTACATACGCTTTAACAAAAAAAAAAACCTGTTCGTTCCACATGTCGTCGCAGAGTTACATGCTGAACAGACATTGATTCAAACACAGAGTACATACACTTTTTATTCAATTACTTGACATAATTATTACGTGATGATTCGTCATCATATTTTCATGATCTTCTCTATTCGTTACATTACTATTATCTTTATATCTTAGAAAACTATTCACCACAACAACAATATAAAGTATAAACACCACACAAGATATATTTTTTCAAATTAAATTACTTAATATAATTAATGCGTGGTATTACAATTTTCCGTGATTTTCATAATTTTCTTTATTCCTTATATCGCTATTACGTTTGTTTATGTGTTTTCAAAAACTGTCTGTTATATTTTGTCGCAAAGTTACCGAACAAGAAATCATGGTAATCCAAAATACATTTCCTTATTAAACCATTTGACATAAATATTACGTGAATAATTCGAAAATTATGGTTTCCATAACTTTTGTATTCTTTATATTGCTATTATCTTCGTTTATAGTTTCACACACGTGGCAAGTCTTGATATTTCAATGCAGAATTAATTGCAGCGCGGAATGAATTTCGCCATCACAAATAGCGATCGGCTTAAATCCGGTTTACGCAAATAACCCGATTCAATATACTTTAGCAAACAATGAAATACCTATACCAAACATAACTGCTATATATTTTTAGGATTATTTCGATGATCCGCCGTGAACGTTTTCCCGTATTATTCCAATAGTGGGATAGAAAATTATGCGATCATTTCCGCGTTAAATCGTGCTGCGCGAAAGTACGATTAGAGCAACTACGGTTACACGATCTCTCAATTCCTGTGAAATTCAATATTCTAACGTCGTAGAAGTGGCCCTGTATCTTCTAATGTCAATATGTATTATCTCGGCAGCTACTCGCCTATGTATAAGGGTTGCACGTATCTTTTGATACCCGGCGTGCACTTTTCGCACGAAGCTGGATACGACAGTCAATATCGTCTAGGTAGATTAACGATCGAGTTGTTCACACTAGATTGATATTATATTTGACTTTCTACCGATCCCACCGTTCTTCCTCACTGCGTCACCGCGACAGGGAATTCTACGCGCAGTTAATAAGTAATAGCAAAGTCAAAGAGATAAGCCAATAACCGGCGCGCTATCTTGTTAAATCTAAAAGTTTGCGCTACGTCCACATTTCAATGATGTTCCTTATTAACTTCGCGTGAACAAAAAAAAAATTTACGTGACACGTATTTCTGAGTAAGATTTGCACACATTATTAAAAATGATGCCTTTTTGGTATAGCGTAAAATATATAAAATGTACCGTTACGTTAAAAATCCGTTACGATGTACGTCTGTGATATATTTCTTTCATTATACGCTTGTATAACGTCGTTATAAAAAGATAATGGAACATGTTTGACTTTTACATACGAATAACGCCATTACAGTCTGTAATAAATGATAGACATGGGCAATGTCAACGTCGAAAATATTTTTGACACGCGCTGCAAAAAGTACGGAGCAAATTTTTGGGGACGCGGAAAATAAACTGCCTGAACCTTTCTCACGCTTTGAAATCCAGTTTTTCCGCATGGAACGCGGTACAAATGTATCTCGGTTGAAGTATCTCCCATGACGTAGAGGTGCAAAGCTTATCCGTTCCGGGCAGCTTTTGGTATTAATCTGACTGGGCATAAATCTTTCGCTAATCCACGTAACGGTGTAACCCCGGCTAACACTACATTGACGTTGCCGTTGTTGCTGTAGCGAGAAATACGGAACTTGTTGAATACACGTATTCGAGAGGTCCGCAGTTACAGAGGAGTAGCTCGAAGTACTCGCGATTACCCATCCGCTTTTATAGCCGGTCGATCGACCCTAAGTGCTCCCTTTAAAGGGAGAAATCGAGCAATTCATGGATCGCGCGCGCGATACGACTAATTTACATTTTAACCGGCCTGATTCCCAGGAGAAAAATAATTGCATCAATCCCTTTTAACAACTCAGTGACTACTTTGCAGATTATCTTGTCTCACATTGACAAACAAAATCCATTTGTTCGTGCTCTACAAAAATAATCTTTGGTATGTAAAAAAAAAAAAAATGCAATCATCCATTATTTATCAGTTATCTTTTGACTTGTCGCCAATTATATACGGAAAAGTAGTTTTGCTGAAACACCTACAAATTTAGCTAAATATAGATCTAAATGTAATTTCATTGGAATATTAAAATAATTATGTAGGATGCTCGAAATAGTTGATAGAACGTCAAAACTTTTTGCAGCATTGCTCGTCATATACGTACTTAAATTTCTCACATAATTAGTTTAACAGTCCAAAATAAGATTATTTTCAGATCTGTATCTACCTATAAGATACTTCAACAAAATCGTTCTCTCTGTGTAAAAACGATATTGACAAATCGTAAATATCTCATCATATTCGGTCTTTATTATTGCCATGTATGTGGCTATTTTTAGCTAAAATTTTTTCGATCTTAAATCGCTCTGCAATATGCGGAATAATTCAGACGCGATAGCTTTCTGCATTTACAGGGACAGTCAGTCTTCACGAGAGAACGAGGTCGGATGAAAGTACCAGAATTTTTCCGGAAATTTTACCGCGACGATCTCCGTCGCACGTGACGATTGAATTTGCCCTCACGGTCGTTGAAAACAGTCACGCAGACAACGTTTGCAGACTAAACCGAGCAATCTAAAATTATAGGAGCACCTGGACGGTGACGTTGCATATGGGACAGATAGGAAGATTTTATCTTCAGCCGCGCGCATCATTAATTTTCTTTCTACAAGAGTCAAGAGAGCTTTAACTTCCCGTTGAAAATACAAAGCCGGACGTCGTGTCATTATCACGTGCGCCAGCGAGTCACCGCGACGATGTCGTGACGTAATCTTTATCCTAATAAGTTAACACTCGCCGTTGATTGATGTTTATTTCGGGAATGGTACGCCGTAACCGACTTGCATGTTAATTATCGGAGCGTCGTCCTACATTTTGCCACGCGGAAATAATCCGCGGCATCTCGTTTCCGGTTTCGGATGGAGAAGAGCAAGGGGCGATTGACTGGCCAGAAGCGCACCTCGTAACTTAATTAGCGGGAGGAGCTGAGGTCTTTTTCCATCCGCTTCGATCATTTGCCGGATACAAGCGATTGTACAAAGTGAGGCGTTCCGGCTGAAAATTGAATCTTTCGTATCCCGATTTTACTTCTATTTCTTGACAGGATAATTCGAACTTCTTGTATTGGGTATAAAATACTATTGGTTTAAATAGTCTTTACTGTCTTTTTATATTTCTCTCTATATTTTTCAACTACATTTTTTTATTTAAACTATTTAGATAATAAATTGATCTACACCTATACATGTCCAACTGGTGTGAGTTTGTATTGGAATTATTATTGGCATTTGATTTCTCTCTCTCTCTCTCTCTCTCTCTCTCTCTCTCTCTCTCTCTCT